ACCTGTTACAATGGCTGTTCTAAAAAAGACAAGCAATAACAAGTGTTGGGGAGGATGAGGAGAAAAGGGAACCCTTGTATGCTGTTGATAAGAATGTAAATTGGTACAGCCACTATGGAAAACAGTATTGGGATTCCCCAAAAAATTAAAAATAGAACTATCATATTTTCCAGAAATTCCACTTTACGTATATATCTGAAAAAATGAAATCATAATCTTGAAGAGATATTTGCACCCCCATGTTCATTGCAGCATTATTCACAATAGCCAAGACATGGAAACAACCTAAGTGTCCATCAAAAGACAAAAGATTAAAGAAAATGTGATAGAAAAAAAAAGTGTTGATAGATATAGATATAGAGATATACAGATGGTCTCCAACTTACAATGGTTCAACTTAGGATTTTTCAACATTCAATGGTGCCAAAGTGATATGCATTCAGTAGAAAACATAAATCGAATTTTGAATTTGATCTTTTCCTGGACTAGCGATATGTGGTACAATACTCTCTCATGATGCTGGGCAGCAGCAGCGAGCCGCAGCTCTCAGTCAGCCACATGATCACAAGGGTAAACAACCGATACACTTACAACAATTCTGTACCCAACCATACTGTTTTTCACTTTCAGTACAGTAGTCAATAAATTACATGAGATATTCAACACTTTATTATAAAATAGGCTTTGTGTTAGATGATTTTGCCCGACTGTAGGCTAATGTAAGTGTTCTGAGCATGTTTAAGGTAGGCTAGGCTAAACTATGATGTTTGGTAGGTTAAGTGTTTAAATACATTTTCAACTTATGATGTTTTCAACTTACAAAGGATTTATCAGGATGCAACCCCATCATAAGTTGAGGAAGATCTGTATAGATATATAAATACATAAATTTATAGGTATAGATATAGATATAGATAGATATAGACATAGATACACACACAATGGAATATTATTCGGCCATAAAAATGAAGAAAATTCTTCCTTGTGGGACATCAAGGATGGACCTTGAGGGCCTTATGCTAAGTGAAATAAGTAAGATAGAGAAAAATAAATACTGTATGATCTCACTTATATGCGGAATCTAAAAACCCTGAACTCATAGAAACAAAGAATAAATTAGTGGTTGCCAAGGGCAGGGGGTGGCGATGGGTGAGGGTACAAACTTCCAGTTATAACATGAATAAGTCCTGGGGGTGTAGTGTACAGCGTGGTGACTATAGTTAATAATACTGTAGTGTACACTTGAAAGTTGCTAAGAGTAAATCTTAAATGTCATCATCGCAAAAAAACGTAACTAGGTTATGTGATAGATACGTTAACTAACAGTATTGTGGTAATCATTTCCTAATATATGCGTATTTCAAATCATCACATTGTACACCTTACACTTACAAAATATTGCATGCCAATTATATCTCAATAAAAATGGAAAAACAGAAAAATATATACATAGTTAAAAGCTTTTGAAGATGCTAGGAGAAATTGACAGAAGAATAATAGTAATAGGAGCTCAGAATATATTTCTCAGCCTTTAATAGTTGAAATAAACAATTTAAAATAACTGATGTTATAGACAAGTGATATATACTAAACATGTATGCATACATGGGTCCATATATTATATTAGACATTATTAATCATACCATAAATTGTAAACAGTAAACAACTTCATTTCCAGAATGCATGGCCTCAGCTTAAATTTTACTTCTCTAGGGACGTCTTCTCTGCTTCTCCCAGCTAGATTAAGTAACCCTGCTTGTGTCCCTACTGAGGGCACCTATCAAAGTTTTTATAAATTCTTGTTTTGGTGTCCAGCCTCACTAGACTGTAAGCTTTATAGGCCAGGGAACCCTTTATTCACCACCACTAGGGCCTCAACACCTAGTGAACTGCAAACAGGATGGACTTACCCCACCAGCCCATCTTTAACTCAATAAACATTTGTGGAATGAAAGTCTAAATAAATTCCAAAAAGCAGATATGGAAAATGCCATAGTGTAATTTAGCATGTTTTTTAAGTGGCATTCAAATCAGTGAGAAGGAAAAACATAATTCAGAAAATTTATTGGAAAAAATAAAATAAAATTAGGTATCACTTCATGACATACAATAAAATAACTTACAGACTTAGTATTAATGTATATTTAAATATATTTATAAAATTATTAGAATAAAGATGAAATAATTTATTTAAACTTGAAGTGGAAAAGAATTTTCTTAACAAGTCTCTGAAAGCAGAAACAAAAAAAGGGAAATTTTTATAGACTGTTAATATTAGAAACTTCCATGCATCTAAAAGCAAAGGAAAAATAAAATGAAAACAATAAACTGGGGGAAATATTTGCAGCCTATAAATGGAAAAATTCAATAGCGACAAGGCCTCTGGACCCAGGCTGCCTGGGTTCAAATCTTGCCTCTACTATTTACACCTGTCTCACCTTGGGCAAGGATTTAACTTTGCTTTGCCTCTGTTTTCTGATCTATTTTCTATTTTATGACAAATGTCATAAGCAAGGAATTCACAAATGAAGGATTAAATTAACTAATATAGGCCAGTTTTTGCCTACAAAATTGGCTAGGATTTAAAACTTTGATAAAAAGCCTACGTTGGTGAGGGTATGTGGAAACTAATATTCTCATATAACGTTAGTGGAATAAAATGTAGTGCAAGCATTTCTGGCAGACAATTAATCTTTAAGTATCAAAAGCCTTACAAGTATTTCTAGCCTGTAAAACAGCAATTCCACTCTTAGAATGTTATTAAGAGAAAAAAACATGGACATTCCTTACATTTAAATACAAAGAAGTTCAGAGCAACTTTTTACAGAATAACAAAAAAGCTGAAATCAACTAAATGCCCCACACAGGTGATCAGGTGAGTATATTGCTTTTCAGTCATATAATAAAATAATTGGAGGCAATTAAAATTTTCCACATTATCCCTGTAATATTCTATTTTTTGCAATACTATAATAAAACATTCTTAGTGTATAAAAGAATAGCTAACGATACAGAAAGATGTCTAAAATATATTGTTAATTTTTAAAAACAAATTACAGAGTAATATATACCAAATTATCCAATCTCTGAAGTCTATGTTTTGTGTATAATAGCATAAACTGTCTTTGAAGGGATAATTTTTTGCCAGTGCCCGTCATAGATTTCACGGTGGAGACTCCTGTAATGTGTGCCCAGCTCAGAATTCATCAAATGCTCAGCAAGGCCAAGACTATGGTTTTACACAGAGTAAGTCTAATGTCGTATGAAATAGAACAATACATTTTCAGTAGGATAACACTGAACAGTGTTGTTTCAGGGAAAATGAAAAGAATGCTTACTTTGGTGAAATGTTCTTGCTTCTTAAGTAACTACTGATGAAATTTCCTACAGTTTCCCTAGTAAGAAGCGGGGGCCTCGTATCCAAACACCCACTGTCTCTCCCTCTCATGGGACCAAATGCCACTCTGCACTTCAGAGCTATCAAGAGAAGAATATTGGGGCTGGCCCTGTAGTGCAGCAGTTAAGTTCGCACGTTCCACTTCAGCGGCCTGGGGTTGGCCAGTTGGAATCCTGGGCGCAGACCAACTCACTGCTCATCAAGCCATGCTGGGGCAGCATCCCATATAAAAGAGCTACAACTCTACAACTATGATATAAAACTATGTACTGGGGCTTTGGGAAGAAAAAAATATATATAAAGAGGAAAATTGGCAACGGACGTTAGCGCAGGGCCACTCTTCCTTAAAAAAAAAATAATTAAAAAAAAAAAAAAATGAGAAGAATCTTCACCAGCATCTGGCCCAGACTCGAGGAGCAGAAACTTGGAGGGATAGGGTTTCCCAGGGAGAGTTACGGGACTGAGAGACTGAGCTTTAGGAGGAAGACAATGAGCAGTGAGAGGAGACAGAGCTGTACCCAGTCTCAGCCCGGATCAGTACCCAAATCTGAAAGAGCTGCCTCCTCCAGGCTGAAGGCTAGGTTTTCTGCAGCCCTGTCCCTGATGCCTGCAGTCCTCTCTCAGTGGAAACCAGCTTGCAGGGAGGGACAGAAGAAGGCACGTACCCTACAGAGTTCACAACAGATCCTAGGGAGTGGAAAATGACCAGTCTAGGACCCTAGCAAGTCAGGAAACAATTTATGAGGACTGGGGCAGGGACGGGGACCTATATAAGTGATGCTGTATATCAGTTAATCTCTATAAACAAGAGATCCCGTCTTGTGGCTGCAGGTTCTTCTGCTCTACAATGAACACCTGGTAGGAATAAGCGAGGCCAAGGGGCAAAGCCTCTCACAGAGCCCAGTGCTGGGCAAACACTGCAGTCAAGCAGAGAGAAGGCTGTGAGATTGAAGGAGAGGAGCCAGAGAGAAGCAGGCAGGTGCAAGATTATCTATGATCTGGTGACACGCAACTGACATAACACCCTAACAGTGTGGGCACTGTGTGTTTCACAGACCAACTGACTCAATCACTTCTCAACAGCCCAGTTCTTCTCACACATACAGCCTTCACACGCTCCGCACACACCCCTCACATCCATTACACACACACACACAAGCACATAGCCTAAAGGAACATAAATACATAAAATATACAAAATACATAAAACATAGAAATCCTCATAGGCAGTCCTCTACAAAGCAGGCAAATGGAGTGTGCGAGGAACAGCCCAGAGACCCAGCTGAGGTCAATCATTGGTCCTTCCCACACACCGGGATCCACTGGGACTAAACAGACACTCCCTAAAAACAAGGGAGACATTGGGGAGGCCTGAAACTGACTGATCTCAGTCTGGGATCAAATATCATTTCTCTGCAAAATCTGCCACTACGACCAGTTGACACCCCGCAGGAGAACCAATTTTCATAATCATTGTGGTTCCTTCTTGGTCAAAAACATATGGTCCACATTGAGGTTTGGCTCCATAACTCCAGGGACCTTTCCCTTCCCCAGGGTGTCCACTCACTTACTGTTGATCCCAGGAAAAAGAGGCAACTCTTACCTTGAGCACCCACCATGGTGCTGAGGAGGAGAAAACAGAGTCTCTGACGATAGAGATGTCCATTCAAAGCCATCCTGACTCCTATGTCATCAAGGTCACAGTCCCAGCTGCAAAATAACCCTGTGAGGAGGCATAAGGTTACCAACAAAGGTCTACAGCAATGGGAGGGGAATATATAGACACGTCCCCTGACATCCTCCCTATGAGAGCCAATAGAGACACTTTTTACCATTTCAGATGCTATCGGAGACTTCTTCTGCCGCTTTATGAAGCTCAAACACCAATAAGATTCTGGATCTTCCATATTTCCTTATATGAGCAACACAGCCCTTTGACGTCATGTTTCCTTAGGTCCCTACGAACCAAGGCCCCAGGATCGGTACGGAGGTAGAAAAGTTGCCTCAGAAAGCATGAGTGGCTTTCTCTTTCCCGTAGTCCTGGCTGATCCCTACAGATTATGAGAACTTTCAGGGTCAGGGTGCTGGGATCAGTTACCTTTTGGCCGTGAGAGGATGTCTTTGGTGTAATCAAACATTGTCCTTCCCTGTGACTGAGCCGAAGCAGAGAACCACAAGAAGAATTGAAATGTGAAAATAATTATCAGGCCTGCAGAAAATGAGGACCAGCAACATAGGAATTCACAGGTGAATGTGGAGGGGACGAGGGGGGAATCATCAAGTGGGGGAGGTGTGATTGTTGTCTTTCCCCTCTTCTCATAATGATCTGGAAACTGGGGACCTGAAGCACAGAAGAGCTCATGATAACAAAGGCTTTGACAGAATCTAACTTTTCCCTCCCAGGGATCTTTTGTATCCCCTAAGACCACTCTGCCCAGCCCACACATGTCACCTGGGGCTAAATTCTCCTTCTCCAGGGTAAAGAGGGGCTGTAGTCTACAGGGTATTTACAGACTCGATCTCCTCCTCTCTGTGCAGCTGCCCAGGGCCAGCAGTCCTGCCCTGAGAGTCAGACTGGTGCTCAGGGGTCAGAGAGAACATCAGCCAATTGGCTGAACCACTTGTAGCATTTTTCTACCTGCATCCGCCCTCCCACCCTTTTGGAATCTCTCCTAACTCATAGCTTGGTGTAGCATGAAGTTTAACCCCAACTCAATCTTATCTTTGCTGTCCCTAATACATATACTCATTCTCTTTTCATTTTCGATGGCTTTACTGTTAGTCATACCAGAGAAAGAAACAGGGGAGATAGCAACAACAAGTGCGCATAAGGTATGAACACTCACTGAGTAAAATCTGTGAGTTACTGGGCATAACACATAACACATCGTCAGCTAGAATTTACCAGGCATCTACTATACACCATTGCATATAAGCCCTGTGCTGTGGGCTGGGAATAAAACAATGAACAAGACAGATACTATCCCTGGGCTCATGGAGTTTACAGTCTAGCTGGTGGGGAAAGACATTATACAAATAAATATATATATAATTGTGTAATAACATATGTCAAAAAGCTATAAAAAAATACAATGAGTAATGAGAGGTTATAATATGGAGGGAGATTGCAAGGAGATTGAACCCAGTCAGGGGAAGAGTCTTTTTGGAAAAGATATTCAAGCAGATACCTGATGAGTGAGTTGGAGTTTACCAGGAAACTCAAGTCCATCTACTCACACCCATGGCCCCTCCCTAGACCCTGTCATTCCTGCTAAACATTCTCTGTCTGAATTTTTACATGTTAAAATTCTATTATTCTAGTTCTTGCTCTCATTTCAACCATATCTGTCCTTCTGCTCATCATCACCTCTCCTCCTTTGAATCTCTTGCTCTAATTGAGATAGGATGCACCAAAAATTGGAAAAAGAATTAAAGATTAGATTACCAAGAGATCGATTTGAGTTGAATAGGGTATAAAGATCTGGAGCCAGCCCTCAGGGGGTCTAGAGTTTGAAAGAAATAGCTGATGTTATTTAACTTGCTGGGAATGCTGAACTAGAGGAAGAGGAACAGTGAAGCCACCATCTTCTTCATGGTCCATGTGTAAAATGCCACAAAGACTGATGCTACTCAATTGGCCCTACAATTTTCCTATTTCATTGTGAAACATGATTCCCATAGACCAATGCTTTGGTGCTGTAAAGGGAGTGGAATTCAGGAAGTTCCAGCCTGTAGGAGCCTAAACTAAGGGAGAAAGCACATGAAACTCTCAAGTGGAGGCAGAAACTACTACAGAGGACAAAGACAGCTGTAGAATCCATATGACCTGTCCAGAAAAAAAATAAATAACCAATGGAAATCTCTCTGACAAGAAAAATGCAAACACTACCTCTCTACAGCTTGCTGGCTAACGGTGGAATGGAATCAGTCAAGCTGACTCACCAATACTGTCGACTGTCAATAGGTGCACCGTTAGGACAAGCTGTCCCTTCATTCACTTGCCAGGCATCCAAGCAAAACAAGGAAGCTCTCTGTCCAGAAAGGTTTTGAGCTCACTGTTTCTCTTCCCTTCAAGGAATTACAAATTCACACAGAATCTTTGCACCCCAGCCAACAGGATGACAACACAACCCTCTTACTCCAACTCACCTTCTGTTGATTATTTTGTCTTCACTGTCACCTACAGAATATGAACAGGATCCTAATGTTGTACTCATTCTGCTCAAAGAGTCCTCTTACATTCAGACCCAAGTTTCATCAGCTCAACACCCTCTACACAGGTAGCTATAAACCTGAGGCCCCATTCATGGTTCCCTCACGCTCCAATATCTGAAGATCAATGCAGGGGCCCAGACTCCATCCTCCTGGAATAATCAGAGCTACTTCCTGCACACCACTCGTGCAGCCCCACTCTTGCTGGACCACTCTTCAACTCCACTGCTCCCCACAGCGGCCTCTCAAACCTTTCTAACTGATATCAACCACTATTAATCCAGGAACCTCCAAAGCCACTGAGCCAGGCCTGCAGAGACTCACCTTCAAGCCTGGGTCAAAAGGCAGAAGACCCCAGGCCGTCAGGCAGCAGTTCTAGCCTATCCTCTCCCTCTGCCCAGACTTTCAGGGTGGACCTTAACGCCTTCACTTCCATTGGGCAAAGAAAGTTCCAACTACTCACTTCCATGTTTCAACCATTTTTCTTCAGCAGCCATTTTCCCTACACCCAGGCAGAAGAAGAAAATGATTTTTACCACGTCAGGTTTAGTAGTAAAAGTAAAAACTCTCAGGACTTTGTAAATATTCCTGATAAGAGTCAGTTCACACCTTAGATAGGATACACAGGGTCCATACAGCCCTCTGAACATTCTGCTTCTCATTTTAACTACTTTTGTGGAGTTTATGACACTGGGTTAGGCCCAATTCCTCATCGGATTCCTCAAGGAACTGAGACCTAGAAGGGGAGTGGAGAGACAGGCCTTGAGTGGAAGGAAAGGACTCTGTTCTCGGGGATGAGGGGGATGCACAAGTACTGGTGCTGCTGCGAACACGTTTGTAGTGAAAAGAGAAGACTATTCATTAAATCATTGTCTGAGAAGTTCACTTTCCTCCGTGAAATAGAAGACAATGCTACCAGAAGGAAGGAAGTTGTTAGTAAAGGGTTTGAAGAGAGAAACAAAAGTTTGCAATTGCCCCTGATAGGAATGGCAGAAGAAATCATATTGCATTGTTTTATATATCTATCAGAACTCTGAACTTCTGGAGTCAGAAACCCAGAAATCCACCTCTAGACAGATGAAGCAAATACAAAATTTACTGGAAAGGCCTGAGGAAATTCACTGAACCGCTGAACCAAAGGAAGAGCCTCTGGGTCTGGAAGCTATGACTGGCCACTGCCAGGAGTCGCTGCATTGGTGCCTCATCTGTCCTTGTTCTTGCCCAGCTCCATTCTTTTCTGCTGCAGACCAACTCTATCCCCTTCTTACTCCAAGAGGCGAAGGAGTCTCTCCTTCTAGCTGCAGGTTGACAAACCCAGAAGAGGACACTGGCTGGCCTGGCTTGAGTCTTGTGCCCATCCCTGGACCAGGAGCTGTGCTCCGAAGGATGAGCTGCTCTCTCTGGCTCCGCCTGCATCAGGTGCTCAGGGTTTGGAGTGCACTACCAAAGGTTAAGAGGAGTAAGAAAAGACAGGGAGATGAACAGGGGCATGCTGTGCACAATAAAATACCAAAGTTACATAATGGTAAACAAAGAAAAGTTGAATGAATCCTAGTCAAGACCATGTTACAAAGAAAAGAGATGTTAGCCATGGAAAATAACTGGGATGTTGAACAAACATAATTCATGAAGCAATGAAAACTTTTTTACTGCACCCATCCCTTAAAATTTATTCAGAGGGAAATATTTCCCTGCCCTATGGCAGATCCCAGGACTTCTCACAATTAAATAATAGACAGTCCCAAGGTCACTTTACGTCACAAAACACAGGCTCAGTGCAGTAGTTAGAATGTTTCCAGGCAGAACTCCCCTTAGATTCAGTCTAGAGCAGCCCCTGCACTGGAGCCTGCACTTTGTAGGACACAGCTCTGGCCATCCTCTAGCCGGCCCCTCCCAATAGGAAGAGGAGTCCATGGGCTAAAGTGGACACAGCCACCAGACAGAGTCCACGCCATCCCCCTTCTAGACCAGCTCTGGGTTCTCAGAATCAGGAATTCCCTCTGCTTCCAGACCTGCATCAGCCTCTTCCCAACACGTCCTCCCAAAAGTGGACAAAGAGTGAGCAACCCTAGTCCTAGGGGGTGACCAACGACCTGCTGTTTGCTGTGGAAGTGGGGATGTGGTTTAGACCAGGGCTTCTCAAAGTGTGGTCCACCCATAGGCAGCATCAGCATCACCTGGGAGCTTGTTAGAAATGAAAATTCTCAGGCCACACCCCAGAACTACTAAATCAGAATCTGTGTCGTCACAAAGTTTCCAGGTTATTCTCACGCACATCAAGGTTGAGAAACACTGGTTTACACAGAGCAAGGACTCACAGGCTGGGCTGAACAGCTGCTTACAGGCCTGGCCCCTTGCTGCGTGGGAGGCGTGAGAATTGGGAGAGTAAGAGGGCAGGCCTCAGGCTGGCTCTCCCCACAAGCCTGTGTTCTAAACCTAGCCTCCCAGCCCCAGGTGCCTCTGA